AGTCCTTCCTGACATTTTGAACTTTGTTAAGATGAAGCCCCCTGTTTTAATGCCTCGCAGGCCATGTCTACCTTTTGTTGAACTTCTTGTTGTGTATTTCTGGTGACGAGAATGTCATCTACGTATGTATTATTAGACAATTCTTCTTCAGCTTCTTTGCACAATATTCCAGATTTGACAGCGTTTTGATATACAAACCTAATACATGCATTTAGAATGAATGGGGCACAATTTATTCCCCAAGGCGAGCGTAAGAATTGGAAGAATTTGAAGGAGTAGCTTCCATCGGCTTGTTTTTCAGGCCATCTAATAATCAGTACTAATTAGTCTCGTTCTTTGAGTTGTACTTGTACAAAAGCCTTTTTAACGTCAGCTATTCCTATGTGATCAGCAAATCGCATTCAGAGGAGAATAATACCTAGATCAGGCAGTATTTTTGGACCGGTTTCAAAAATATCATTACATGCTGCTTTATTCCTGTCAGCAGCATTTCCGGCAATGACTACTTGTAAGGGGGTAGACGTACTGTTTGGTTTTTCTACTCCGTGATGAGGCAATTCGGTAAAGGGTCGGTTTCTGTTGTACTATTTGTGAAGTTCAACTGGCGTGATAACTCCATTATCTATCCATTCCTGTATGAATTTTTTGTATTCCTCAGACAGGCGGTTGCCCTTTTCTAGTGTTCTTATTACGCCTTTTATGCGAGCTTCACCCATTTTCAAGTTGGGGTTGCAGTGTTTCTCAAAACAATCTCATTTGTGGAGTGGTGCTACAATTCTACCATCAATGATTTTAAGTTTGGTCATATACTCCTCGTAGGCTGCCTTTTTGTCAATTACTTCCTCTCGTGGTTCTTGGTAGAGCAAATTATCTAATTCCATGTTTTGAAGTATTTTTGCATTCAATATCTCGTCTTCTACCATCTCGACGCCTTGTGACAAATAGGTATGGAAGGTAGTTTCGGTTTTATGGGTCTCACATTGTGGTATATCTGGTGTTCCACTTGGGACAATTCCGAAATTAGTACTCATGAGCTGGAATACATTGGTTCAATACATGGTGGGGTTTGGTAAGTTCAAGATTGGGATTAGATCCCTGCCCCCCAGTACTAAGTCAAAGGTGATATGGTTTTCTTTGAGAATTTGAGGGTCAGCAAGTTGTTTACCACTTACGCCAAAGTGTTGTAAAGATGTTGGGTTTCTTCCCTTCCAGCTATTTTTGAGTGGGGCTACAACTGTGTGAGTTTTTAGTTGAAAGTTTTCATTGATTCTAGATCTCAGTGATAATTTGACATAAGAGCAAGATTGGAGTCCACGACCTTCATTATTGACACCCATGATTGTGTAGTTTTGCTTTGTTTCAAATTCCTTCAATCCTAATTCTTCTACGAGTTGTTTAGTTATAAGTTGATCTGAGCTCCAGAATCAAGCAGGATATAAATCCTTTATCCAGTTTGTTCGTGGATAGCTTCTGTGGATTCCAGAAAGGTAGAAGAAACGCTAGATATTGGATATGCTTTTATTTGAACCACTTCTAGTCATATATTAGGTTGATTCTCTTGTCTAGGTTCAGGTTGACTACCTTCTATGGCTGGTCTTGCAGCTGGGGGCTGTATTGCTAATTGAGATATATTTGGGATAGTGGGGGTCTCCTGGGGCTGCCCAGATCCTCCAGGGTTATTTTGCGCCCATGGCAAAGAAACATTGGATGGGAAGTATGGATAATTGAAAATTTTGAACTTCTTGTAATGCTTTATCCAAGGTAGACATATCTACCTGTTGTTGTGATTGTGAGTTTTGAGATCTGTTCCTATTTTGACATGGGTGGAATTGATTATCCTGTCTACCATTGTTTCGTTGATTGAATTGAACTCTGTTGGGGTCGCAGATAGATGTGTGATGTCTTTGATTACATTTTTTACAATTAGTTTGAAGAGGACAGTTATATGAACAATGGCCGGTTTGCAAACAGTTATGACAACGCATCTGACCACCTAGAACCTTTTGCTTTTCATCAAGGGTTTTGGGACAATCAAACAAACTATGATTTCCTCTACAATATAAACATGGTCTGGGGTTTGAGGACCATCCTTGTATTTTTCCTTGCGTATTTCCTTGCGTGAATTGTCTAGGTACTGTTCCCGTTAGATCTTGATTAGTTGACGTAGTGGGTTGTTGGAATGTAGGGGAGGGATTGGATTGTTGTGGACGCTCTTGCACAGTGGGTAACGTAACAATTTCAGGTTCCTTTTTCCTTTCGGCAGTTTTACTAGGTTTTTCCATGATTTTTTCAGAAACCTTAAAGGACAATAACTTTTCATTATATTCATTAGTTCCTGGTTTAGATCTAGACGCATTGTGAAAATAGCTAATCAACCATAGATAACGGTTTTCAGGGAGTTCTTCCCATTCATCCAGGGTTTCATCTGTAACATCATCTGCCAATGATATGGAGTTTGCAAGGGTATCAAGGAAGGTATCACGCTCAAGATGTTCAATAACCAATGGCCAAATTTGCTGTTGAGTTTCTTTGGGGTTCATACAAATGTTGTTCAGACAGATAAATTGTTCTAAAACTTCTTCAAGGTAAGCTCCAGCTTCTTCATAAGAGCCATTGGGATGGGGAAGTTGTTCAATTCGCTTGATTAATTGATCTCTCAGCAAATTAACCTTGCTGTATTTATCAAACATTGTTTGCAGCATACCAAGATAATCATTGTCGGTGTTTCTACCCTGATATTGAGAACACGTCTTTTTGGCTTTACCTTCGAAATGCATTAAAAATAAATTGATTCTCTCTCTTGGTTCGATTTGAGCCTTTGGTGATTCATGGATATGTCAAAATTGAGTCCAAACCCTTTCGAACGTTTGTTCTTCATCGGGTTCACCGCTGAACTTAGTAAAGGAAGACTGAAGCTAATCATGATAATTTTTAGCAAATGCAGTAGATCCTTGATTTCCTAAGTCAAGAAGGGGTCTGGTCCCATAATTTTTTAATTCTTCCTTCAGAGTATTTTTAGTATCCTTTGGATGTATGCCCAAGAATTTCATTTTGTTAGCCTTTGTTACAGAGGAGGAAGCTCCATCTTTGTGTGTGTTGTGTGATGAAGATAGATGCGTAACGTTATGTTGAAAGGATTGTCGTGTGAACAAGGGAGCGTTGGTGTGATTCAGATGAATATCGCTAACAGATGGCGCTTGAGTATTAACATTTTGACAGGGGTCCAATGACATTGGCAGTTCAATCTCTAGTATTACCTGAGACGAGGGACAAATGTTAGGCCAGTTGTCAACCAGCTCATCAAGGGGGGTGACTACAATGTTTGTTAATTCCTTTTGGAGTTGGAGTATTTTAGTTTGATTAATCTGATCTATACTATCCTTTTCTGCTGTAGCTAATAGAGTAAGCAATTTGGTGAAATCTCTTTGAAGCTTTCCGTATTCTTGGTTTTTCGATTTGGTATTGGGCGTTGGGTGTAATCTATCTGCGATTCTGATTAGCTGGGCTATCCTTAATATAATAGTAACGATTATTTGTTTAAGTCTGACAGCAATATTTGAAACTACGGTGTGTTGAGGGACAGAGGCGGTTTTGATTGGAGTGTTATCTTCCGGTATAGGTTCAGCCATAATCTCATCTTCATCCTCAAACAATGGCTCTATGTGTTTGATTTTGGGGTTAGGGGCTTCTACTTTGTTGATAATTATGGCTTGCTCTTTGTTTTCTTGCGAAATCGGAATCTCATCATTAGGTTGTTGCTGTTCCGTATTTAAGTTACTCACAATACCCGTGGCCTGAACATTCTTTGGTCTCCCTGGACCGCAAGTCATGATGTCAAACAATCTTGTACCCTTGGGTACACTTTTGCGTATCAAAAATTAGTTTTATGAGAGGTCTAAATTGCGTGTTAAATTTGAATTGATTTTGAGTTACTGGGAAAATCTTAGTTTAGAAGAGAATTCTTTAAAACGAACTACGCTCTGCTACCAATTTTGTGATGGAAAGTTAATCACAAAGAATTGAGAATGAATAATTCAAGAGAATAAATCGGAAACACAATCCGCCCAGGAACAGGGCAGGGGATTCTTGGTAGAATCCCAAAAGAGAAAGATAGCAATATATTTCAAATGAACTCAAAGAATAAAATTGGCTCAACAAGCAAAAATCACAAGTTTCGAAAAACGACGATGCACACGCTGCAAAGCGATCAGAGAGACTGTGTCAAAAAGTTGTGTTGGAAAATGGACAAAAATGAATGCAATTGCGCAATCGGGAAATCCAGAAGGGATTTCCCGTTGCGGGGGTTTCTTACGGGGCGTTATTATTATTTTATTCATATAAATCTAGATTGTTCGTCTTGCGAAACGACTATCCCTTACAATTTTGTTGCCGGAAAATTTTGGAACCTGCATCCTAAAATATTCAGGGTACCAAAGGAAGTTGATTAGCAGAAGCAGGCATCAGCCTGTGATTACTGGGAATTCCCGATGATCATGTGATAATCAGCACAGCACCCTTTCTTTACAGCCTGGTTTTCATTGTGCAATCCTCTTATTCTGCCTCAAAGCTTTTTTTCCTTCCATAAAATTGAAATTCTTTACTATTCATGTGAAATACATTTTGCTCTTATCTTTCTGGAATTCTAAAAACCGACTCCTGATAGAACAACGGAAGCGTATAATGCTTCCAACTTTCGTTCCATACCTGCGCTCGCTCGCTCGCTCACTCTCTCCTAGTGTCAAAAAATGTTTTCAAGCGAAAGGCAACCGCTTCTTGGTTACCAATCGCACACCCATAAACGAATCAACAAACAAATGAAACACGAAGAAAGAATCGATCGATCAATCAATCAGAAACGAGGGGGCTACAAAAAAGAGTGTGGCAATAATGCTCTTCATCCTTGGTCCGCTTCTTTTTTCGGGACACGGCATCAGGAGACTTCGATGATTGATGGCGGCCGGTGCGAACGAGACGCCGCCGACATCGACAGCGAGGATGAGCTACCGTGCGGCGACGGAAAGGCGCTCTGGCATACGCTTCTTTTTTCGGGACACGGCATCAGGAGACTTCGATGATTGATGGAGGCCGGTGCGAACGAGACGCCGCCGACATCGACAGCGAGGATGAGCTACCGTGCGGCGACGGAAAGGCGCTCTGGCATCCGCGGAAGTGCGGGATGTCCGGGCAACTGTCGAACTCCAAGTTCCCACACGAATACCTGTCGGAGAGAACAATAACACGTGTAAAGAGGATGAGCTACCGTGCGGCGACGGAAAGGCGCTCTGGCATCCGCGGAAGTGCGGGATGTCCGGGCAACTGTCGAACTCCAAGTTCCCACACGAATACCTGTCGGAGAGAACAATAACACGTGCAACTGTGTAAGAGCGGGGTTTCCTTGCTTGGGAGCCAGATAGCCCTCAGGGTACGTTGGGCAATTCGCATGTGCTCAGTGAATGCTCGACGGAAATGGTACAGAAAATTCGAGAAGTAATGAGACTCGTTAACAAAATATTTTGAATAATGCTCTTCGTCCAAAATGTAAGATAGAAAGGTTTCCATACTTCTTACAAGTAAAAAAAAAATTTCAAGCTGTAGCAGGGGCATGAAACTAAGTACCGGTATTCGTACTACACTTTCAAGTGCACCGCCACAAATTACAGTTGAACCTCGATGATTCGAACCTTTTCTAAGTCAAATATCTCCTTAATTCGGATCGTTTTCAAGTCTCTGACTCAATTCCCTCAAAAACAATGCATTGAAAACCTCCAACTCAAAGGCTTCCCTTCTCAACCCTCTAACACGAATTTTTTACGGCATTTTTTGAACAGTATGTTGACCTAATCTTAAAATTTGAATAAATTGATGCAGCAAAATTAATTTTATGAAAGAGTAATCCAGGATTACTCTTCGGGAAATTACGGAAGTTACTAGAAAACCTGTATCTCTATGACTAATGGAGGAAAATCGAGTATTTTTTATTAGACAATTTAAAATGGAATATTCAAAAACCGCCAAAATTGCTCTGAGATAATGGTGGCATCTTATCGGAATTTGACTGTACTAGATACATTCAAAAACTAGAACGGAGCGTCCTCAATACAGTTTTCAAAAGAGCACATACCGATTCCGGTTCTTGCTGCGGTCGAAACACAGGTCGTAATGTCTCGCAGCACCGGTCATGTCAGAGTCAATGCGCTCTCTCCGCCGCCGACGCCGAAATAGCCTGATGTCGGAATCAGAGTCTCCCTCACTACCGCCGCCATCAGTCGAACGCAACGACGAGTCCTCCGACGGCAGCATCCCGGGACAACTTTGCGTCCTATACATGGGCGCTGAGAACACCAACTGTGACACCTGTAACGCAAGAGACGACCACTTCGAGATAAACAACTTGTAAGATAGAATGCTAAAAATGAGTTACTGTGCGGAAAAAAATAAATTTTCTGAATGTCAAGTCTTCAGTGAAGAACACTTCGACGTGCTCACAAGTTTAAATCAAGATGGATTTGAATCGACAGAAGCGGGTTTGCATCTTACGAGATTTTGCATCAGCGACACATACAATAATTATGCCGTATCACGTTTCCGCCCTTCTCGCATCCCTCGACATAAATTCTAACACTGCCCTTCTATGACCCAACAGGCATTTGTCAGATCATTTAAGGCGTTCAAAATGTCGTAATAAGCATTTCTCATCGCGTTTCCTGGAGCACAGAAGATAACAGTACGGTAAAGTACTGTACTTCTTTCCATGTCAAGGACGAGGAGTTTCTGAGAAGGTGCTTGTAACTGGCAGTGAAAATGATATTTCAAACGAAGTCCAGTCTTTGGTCTTCTTTTTAGATCGAATTCTTGTTTTAAAAAGGATAAAATGAAAAATAATGTCGTTGCGAAATTTCTGCCTTCAAAAGATTCCTTCATAAGCACTCTTACAATACTCCCAACCAAATGCGTGTCTCTGAGAGTGTCATTAAGATTACTACATCGAAAAAGCCAAACGTCAGGGACTAATCAGGAACCCGGAAAAAATCAAAATGAAAAACTTGCGGTACCAAGTGGCATCTGTGGTACAGTAGAATCTTGCTACAACAAACTCACAAGGACCTCAGAAAACGTTGGCTACAATGTATTATTTGTAATAACCAATTTTTTTTTCAATATTTACTACTGGGAAGATTTTTTTGATTGAACATGCGGATATTCAAGATCTCCCATTTGTGGTATTTTCATATGTTTCTCCATGTTTCAAACACTGACCCTCAAAACAAAATTCAAATGGCAATACTGTACAAATTTTAACTTTTCAAAGCCGAATTCCAAGTTCTTCCAGGCAATCCCTGCACAGATTCATAAGGGGTGTTCCAAAAAAATTAGTTATTAAGCATCAGTAGGGTTCATTTAGCTTCCTCATTCCTGAAATAATCATCACTGCTTTCCCAGACTTTACATACTACTGATCTAAAATAAAAACGTCACGAGTCATGATAGAGCACTTCAGTCTATACGCAAACATCTCCAGAATAGGTCGCACCCTCATTCCCAGAGGAAAAATGTGCGGCCTATCCTCTCATGTATTAGGTGAACACAGCGTTTTCAGAAACAACACGGACGTACTTCAATGAGTATCGTTCGTTAGTCAACCGCCGACGAGTTTGAGTGAGCTTCACCAAGGGGAAAAAAAAAGAAGGAACAAGAGTACCTGGAATAAAGAATAACTCGCGAAGTAGAAAATTGCGTTAGTGCGAGAGAAAGAAGAAGCAGTACCTGTAGAAGCTCACGGTTGAGGGCGTCCTGTTGCGAACCCAGGTACAAAAACGGAAGGATCCTCGTCGGGCCGACATTTGTCACCGGGAGACACGGTTGCGAGAACGATCCCAACAGAGCCGCACCTCCGCCTGACGCACCAATCCCCCCGCGCCGACCTTTGTCTTCGCACAGATCCGGGAACTTGGCTTGAAACTCCAAAAATCCACCTGAGAAAGTTCGAGAAGAACGGATAAGAAACACCACTCCATCACGCCAACAACACGGATTAAAAACCCTCAACATCATTCGTTACACTCAGGGAACGAAAACGGATCTCTGCCCTCCACGGAAATACAAACATGAGCACAAATCCAAGACCTTCGTTCGCGGAGAAAAACGCAACAATAAATCCTCGCACTATGGACTACAGATCATTCTTCACATTCGAAGCTTTATTTTTTAAATAAATCCCTGTAAACCTCAGACCTTCCCTTCATTAGTAACAAATCATTTGGCCAGTAAAACATGACGGTCAAAGGAAAATGACATTTCCGTTTCAAATCAATCTTTCAGAATGGGGAAAAAATACTCGTTTTCAACACCTGTAGCATCGTTAGCGAGAGCCGAAAATTAAATTACAATAGATCATTCGAACCGTCTTCGTCGCAATCCTGAGACACCTTTGTGAAGTACCTACAGTGATAAATCACACGACCGGTGAAAAAAGAGATGGATGACGAAGCAACGCATTCGGCAAAGTTAGCGGTTTTGTTTCGGGCTTATGACGTTGTGACGAGAAGTAGTTGAGGTTGTTACAAGAGTTCATAAAGTTAAGCCTTGCAGTTAACTGTGCTTTAGGGTTTTGGTAGGTGATGCTTCCTTCCCTCGTAAATCCCCATCATTTCTTTCAACCACACGGACAATTCCATTCAGTTAACGATTTTCAATCGAAAAATTTCTCCAGCCTAACTTGCGACAGAAATCCTGAAGATACGGTACAGTGTATTCGTCAATCATTGCGACGAAACGGATTTTGTAGAGACGCAATAAGCGATGAAAGAGATACGGTCTTCCAAAAATGCATGGTAATTAACAACCGAAACGCTACGAATACTGTTAGATAACCATCGCGACGCTCCCTTATGCTATTCGACTTAGCATTAGTTCTCGTGTCTGGGCGTCTAGGACAGCTGTTTACTTTGGTTTTGCGTGCCGAGTTTGCTCTAGTGTGCTGCTTTAGAGATTGCGCCTACATCCGTTTAGTCGAAAAGCATCGAAGAAACAAATGCGAAGCTGAATCAATGCACGCTGAAATCAAATCACAAACGTGGACACAAGATGCTGAGCTTATAGGAAAACGTTCGCTGATTGGGAGTTCTTACCTTTCAGAAGAGACACAGAACGAAAAGCACCGACGAGCTTCGCAAGCAAAACGTGTAGAAAAGAGTCCACTGCCACGGCATCCAGATTCGGCGAAGACTGATCGTACACGATCATCTCCCATAAATCCGTTACATCCACGTCGCATACTTTCCGCACAAAATCCCGAATGGAAATCTGCATAGCACAAGAGAATTGTGCATTGGAATCTGAAATGGTAAGTGGGCACGGTTCATGGAGGCCAGGTAAGTAGGGCCGTACTCAAGTACACTGGGCTTTGTAGGCGCTTCCCGTGTCCTAAGTTCAAGTGAGTGAGTCATTTCTCAATACGCAAATAACTCACCTTTTCTTGTTGAAGACGCTTCTTGTGCTCGAAGCTTGTTGTTTGTAACTGTCGTGGTTGCTACACGTCTAGCAACTTGAGGTCTTTCCTGGCCGATAGGTGATGGTTGTGGACGTTAAGCTTTACCTGTTCGACAGCCAAATTTAGGCTATAATTTCACTGTCTTTTACAACCTCAATTCACCCACGAGCTTTCCGTGCGTCCAACCGTTATCGAACTACCTTTCATCAAACTCCTACACCAACACGAAGCATTTTTAACCTTCGGTAATCATGAACCATCAGAACAAAAGAAGGAGCGCCTCATACCGTTTCAAGAACCACCGATATCTTTACAACTGTACTCCAATAACGCATCCCTCGAAGAACGTACAATTCTCTAGAGATCATCTATACGTCATAAGTTCGCCCTAGCTCTCAAAATAAAGCGTCAAGCTTTCTCGAACAGTTCCGTTGAAATCTAAGGAACGAAACTCGAAGCGCATCACAGTGTTCTTAGATCTAATTCAGAGCCGTTCCTATCTTCACGACCAACTAATGAAGGCGTTACAATGAACACAAACCTGAGCGACAGAAGACCGGGCAATGGCGGCCACTTGCTCAGGACTAACAGTCCGTACGGCATCCAAACTCATCATCGGAGCTTACACAGCACAAGGTTGCCACGAGGCACACGATATTCGCCACAATGCATCCCCCGTCATCACGCCGCGAAACAGAACGCGTTGCCGAGCCATGTGGAGTCACGCACTCAAGGCGTGCTATGTTTATTCACAATGCGGTTGTCATCGTCACGGCGTCGGCACCCGAGCCATCGCGAATCAGCAAACGTACCGCAGAATCCACAACATACTCGGGGTACCTCTTCTGGAACGTAAACACCAGGGTTTTGCGAGATGAGCCTCATGAATAT